GTTATTTTCTCATTTATATATATGACATTGTTATTGCGATGTCATAACACCTGAAACATTGGAAATGAAATTATGATAACTAAATGTTAATAACTTCATAACTTATACTCAACTCTTAATAAATAGCATGAATATATTTTGAGTGAATTAATTGGTGTTAATGTGTAGATTACAATCCCATCACGTCTACGATCTTAAAAAAAAGAAAATACGCAATTTTCCAACTCAAAAAAAGGGACATCAATCTGAAAATTAAATATTATTCTATATGTAAATATAAGTTAATTGAAATACATGTTTTACGTAAATAAATATTGAAGTCCATATGTTGGATTGTTAGGCCTTATCTGTTATAGAAAAACAATACTGTATATTAATTGTATATGCAAAGAAGAAAGAAACACGGTGAAACGCTTTAAGTTTCATTTTTTTTCAAATTCAGAATAATATACAAGCTTATGCTGAATTTACATAAAAATGATTTCGCTGATTTTAAATGGATTTCATATATCAAGAATCTATTCAATTGCACGGGACTAAGTTTATGTTTAAAATTAGATATTGTACACGGAATTGGATAAAGTCTGTGGTTATGCATTCATCTAACTTGATGTTTTTAAAGACTTAAATTTGATTAAATAAATTCGACGAGTATTTAGTATGAGTAGATTTACTTTTCACGACCATGTATCTTTAGTATATATTGGAACAAATCTATATTTATACATATTATATCGATAGTTGTTATAAATAAAAAAAAAAGTAGAATGTTCATGTACGTCAATACGTTTATAACGTTCATTGCATAAAAAAATTATTATCTACCATGTACCTATAGAGATCACATTTACTTGAGATGGCCAACGAGTTGAATAAAATATATGTGGATACAGTATCTCTGGGAGTCGAATCAAGTTTTCATGTCATTTAGTATTTTGCTTTCGGATGATCAAAGACGTATATATTACGTAATGTAATATATACGTCTCTGGATTGATGTATAAGAAGCGTGACGTAATTCCTTTTATTAATCTATTTAATTTTTACATAGATAATTGATACTGTTATGTTTAACAAAATTGAATAACTAACATTTTTGAAAAGTAATTTCAAATTTTCTAAATATTTCCTGCTAAATTTATATATATGATCTTAATAACACCATTTTATGACATGAATAGAATTAATATAGTATCATGTAATTGCAATCCTTTTATCAAATATATCTTATACCCGATAATGATACTTAAATGTATCTAATATATATATTCATTAATGTATAGGCCTATATAATAATTAATAGATTTCTGCCCGTTCCTGTAAATCGTCGAACCCCTAGTCACGGCATTTCGGTGATGTTTTCTGCACCAAATCACATATTTCCAGATAGAATGTGACATATAGAGGTAAATAACTGTGACATTTCACAGTGATAAAGAAGTATACGGTTCATAACTGGGTCGTATGAGGTAGTATTGGGTGGTATGGGCACGGACTTAGATCTAATCTAATTCCGTGGTATGGGGTAGTATTGGGTCATAGTCACGGCAATTCGGTGATGTTTTCGGCACCAAATCGCATATTTCCCGATAAAATATGACAGATGGAAGTAAATAACATCTACAAAGGTGATATTTCACAGTAATAAAGAAGTATTTGGTTCATAACTGGGTCGTATGGGGTAGTATTGGGTAGTATTAGGTAGTATTGGGTAATTAGACGCGCCGGTTCAAAGTGCTATATCACATATATATGTGGCAGATTTTAATTGTACATAGGATTATGGTCTCCTTATAGCTTCGCACTAGAGGGCATTTCCCTTTAGAACATATATCTGTTACAAGCATATACAGATTCATCTTTATTTTGTACTGATAATTTTCAAAATATTTTGTTCTGAATATTGTTAGTTATGCATTCACCACACTAATATGCAAACTTTATAAGCTATAGATAAACAGCATATTTATACCAATGCATATCAGTTAAACGCTTCAGTTAATGCCAGCAAGATATAAATATGACATTTAATATAACTTATTTATTATGCCATTATAAACGAGGCTAAGCAGAATCCCATATATACACCATTGTTTTCCTTGTTGGACGCTTTTGTTTTATTTCCTTGAAGTAAAAGTCTTGAATTCACCTACATTATATTAATACCACGGACATCTAGTTCCGTAGTATTACTGATGCAAAAGGTCAGTACTGCTTTGTTACTGAGAGATATTTCTTACATGTAGGTGTATGGTGTGAACAATTTTACAATCTCTATTTTTCGGTATTAAGTTACCACATACAAGAAAAGGTAAAAAGAATTGGACCTAGAGCAAACATTATCATGATAGAACTTGAAATAGATTAGAATTCCTTCATTGGGAATCTCTCTTTACTTGGCTGTGTTTCAGTATCACACCTGTAGACCAGAAACAGAAGGACAGCTCTGAGGACTCACAGGACCAGATCATAGATGTCCTCAATGACACCTGGGGTAACTACAGCAGTTAAACCTGTCTAATTCTAACACCTTTAGCAAAAATATTTCTGTTTGGAATAGAAATTAAACAGCTGTAACATAAATTATATACTGAATCAAAGTTGATCTGGATTATACAGCTTTGCAGAATATTTAGATCTTGGATAACCCATTACATTATAGGACTCAGACATTCACACAGTGTATAGTTACTTGTAAAATTAATTTGTTTTGCTATAAATGATAAAGTTTGCCACAGTTTTCATTCCTCTAACCATTACCAGGCAGTGATTTCTGTAGGATTTTTCAGACAAGTCCTGAACATAAAACATTGATGAGGTCCCATTACATATATGTACCAAAAAGTATATATAAAGTGTCTTCATAATGCTGGGGAGTCTCACAAGACAATCATGCGTCCAGGGCTCAATTATCTGTGTCCCAAGAGTCAGGATTAAGACTGAAATATCTTTTTGTGTGGTATACACTTGATTTCAGGTATGAAACTCAGAACCATGCGGGGGCGAGGATATCTTATTGTACCATCCACACATGTACAATAAATAACCTGGATAGTCTCTGAATTATTTTATTTCTATGACAGAATGCTGATGTAATGATAATGAATTTCATTTTAAGGCTCCCCTCCCTCAGCTGCAATAACAGCCACGATAACATCCTCCACCGTCTCCGACATCCCCTCTGCCCAACCATCAACACTAGCATCACCAGCATTGGGGGAAAAGAAGGAAGATACCTCCGATGAGGAGAAAGAATGGCTGGACGCTCTAGAGAAAGGTGACTTAGACGACTCGGGAATGCTGAAGAAAAGCAAAGACCCAAGGTTATTAACTGCTAGACAGGTACAATCATTTCACAATAAATGTTTTCCTGTAATTAATAGTACATGTACCAATTTTAGATTCAGTAAAGTTAATTGCATCCTCACAAAATGTTTAACACCATTTAATTTGATCACATCTTTAAAATCTGATTTTGATGTGATGAAACTTTCAATTCCGAATTAGTTCCTATTGCTGTGTATATCTACTGTGAAATGTTGTGGAAATTATGAACTGCAAAACAGTTAATGATGTTTAATAAACTGAAGTTTGAATTGACATGTTTTGTCAAAACATATGTTATGGAATGGTTAATGTATTTCAGTCTCTGAATTCGCAAGAACAAAATAATTACAAGTTTACCTAGCTAGTAAGTTTCAATGTAGATATACTTTCATAAATAAAAAAGGATAATTCCCTTTTGAATTCATTTTAAATGTGAAAAATATGTATTTAAAGTTAATTTTGTCACAAAGTTGTACATTGTATTATATTTATTGACTAAAATGTTCATGTTAAATGTGTAATACTACAGTATCAAGTAACTTTTAAGTACACACTTTAAGGGTCTGGAAAAGTTAAATGTGATTTTAAGTATTCCTTTGTAGCAATCAGGACCTGCAAACAACTGCATTGAAAAATAATGTCTTATTTCTATAGTAGTGTTTGTCTGTTGTACCTTTCAGAGAGCTCTTATTCATGGCAACAAAGAAGAGGCTCTTTTGGAACTTCCCTCAGGTAAAACATGAGCAGTAACTCCCCTTACATGCTATTTGTCTCGGGGAAACATCAGCAGTTATACTTTTTACTTACTAATTTCATAGAAAATATCAACAATGACCCAATTACTTATATCTCTAGCGAAATATCAGAAGTGACTCCTCTGAAATACCTCTTCAACACCAACTCCCCTTAAATAAATGTTACGATGTATCTCTCACTAGTATTACATCAACACCAACTCCCATTAAATACATGTTATGAGGTATCTCTCACTAGTATTACATTAACACCATCTCCCCTTAAATACATGTTACGAGGTATCTCTCACTAGTATTACATCAACACCATCTCCCATTACATACATGTTACGAGGTATCTCTCACTAGAATTACATCAACACCATCCCCCATTAAATACATGTTACGAGGTATATCTCACTAGTATTACATCAACACCATATCCCATTAAATACATGTTACGAGGTATATCTCACTAGTATTACATCAACACCAACTCCCATTAAATACATGTTACGATGTATCTCTCACTAGTATTACATCAACAGTGGCTTCCCTTTCAAATATTTTACTTCTCTCAGAAAAAACACCCATCAGCAGTTATTCCCCTTGCTTGCTTCTCAAAATGAAAACATCAATAATGACCCCATTACTTATATCTCTCAGTTACTCGGATCCCCTTACATAAATATTAACAGTTACTCTGGATCCCCTTACATAAATATTAACAGTTACTCTGGATCCCCTTACATAATATTAACAGTTACTCTGGATTCCCTTACATAAATATTAACAGTTACTCCTCTTACCTACTTTTAAGTAAGACATCACCAATGATTCTGTTTGTTCAATGGTTTAAGTACAACTTGGTTGTATTGTTCTCTGGGCTACATTATAATGTGCAATTTGAGTATAAATGTTTGTGTTCTCCAGGCTACAAACAGGTGGAGCTGACAGAGGAACAGCAGCTGAAACGAGTACAGAGGGCTAAGAAACGGCGTCAACAGGCTCACGAAAAACGGGAGAAGGACAAGGTACGACAGAGTAAATATGGGAAGTTGTCTAAATTTCCATATCTCTGAAAGGATGTCGGGATTTTTCTCTCAGGCTGGACATGTTTTAATGTGAAAAATGGTTATATTTCATCTGAACAATTGAATCATGCCAACAGTAGTAGAGGAGTTAAAATTTCATAATTTAAAATTATCATCTTTTATCACTTAGGATGTTATTTAGATTTTTTCAGGTTTTCAAAGATTAATTTATCTTTATTGTAAAAACCTAACAACATGAATGAACCTCCATTTTTTTTAACTTAGAAGGAACATCTGGAGTAATATAAAACATGTTAATTGTATCTTAAATACTAAATGTAAATCTGATTACTTTGCAACTGTTTTCAAAGCATCATAAGACTTTCGATAATAATTGCTATTTTCAATATCTGATTTAATAGATATGATGTTAAGGTTAGTGAAATTTGACAGCAGGGTCTTGATGAATGACTTTGGCAGGTCTACCTCTAATGTTTCCATTGATCGTACTTTTACAGAAACTGACTCTAGACCGACTGCTGAAGAAACAGGACTCCAAGAAAAAAGTAAGACATTTCAACATTGTATTTTAAATTTTTGGCTGTAGGTTATAACTTCATAAACAAAATAAATGAACCTGTATATTTTGTTGTGTTCCACTGCAGTTTGTAGTTTGGAATTAGTGTTCGTGTCCATATGTCTTTTTGTTATTTTATGTTTATGATATATGGAAGATGATGATTGACTACAAAAGAATTATTTCTGCTTTTGATATGGTTAGCATACATACATTTTATATTTGAATATCTTCTATATTCTTAAATGTATCAATTAAAAAATTATTTGTGTTAATACAGACACATGCCGAATCATGGCATCTGTCTTTACGAGTAAAACATATCGAGGCCTTTGTGTTGATGCTACATTATATATGATCACAGCATCAATTTAAACCTGTTCTTTTCGCTTTTTTCTGCCTTGTAACTAAACACCAGTGTGATTGATCCTGTTTACAGGGGAAAGGATTTAAAAGGGCCAACATCCCAAGGTTCCGGTATACAAACAACCAGTCCAGGATAACAATCTCAGTGCCAGTAGGATTTCAGCTCCCCTTCACTGCCCAAACTACCAGGTATTTAAGTAAAATGATTATCAATTCTAACATCATGCACATGTACCTTACCATGTTTAACAAGGTCCTACAGACAGGGGAGGTAATTTGTCTAACTGACAAGGGGAGATAACTAACCATGTTTAACACGGTCCTACAGACAGGGGAGGTAATTTGTCTAATTGACAAGGGGAGATAACTAACCATGTTTAACAAGGTCCTACAGACAGGGGAGGTAATTTGTCTAACTGACAAGGGGAGATAACTGACCATGTATAACAAGGTCCTACAGACAGGGGAGGTAATTTGTCTAACTGACAAGGGGAGATAACTGACCATGGCTCACTGATCTCTCTTGCTGCAAGTGAATTTGACCCTTTCATTTTCTCTGATTTGACTTTGCATCACCTGCCTTAATTCTGTTTGCCAGTCTTGTGGCAAATTTAATACCAGACATTGTTTCTGTAATCAAGTGAGTCTTTACATGGTAAAATATTTTGGTGATAGACACCCTATTTTACTCCCTCATTTCTGACTTAGGAAGGCATCTGAATTCAATCATTCTTGCTCTTCCTCAAACTCAATTAATGCAATTTTAGTACGGTAATATGTTACCTAGAATATTTTTGACTACCAATGACTAACGGTGAATCCACAAGGAAAATTCAGTTAATCACTCTAGCCACTATCAGCTTTCTGTAGGTATCACTTAGACACAAGTAGACAGCAAGTGAAATCTTGTTTCATAAAATTAAATCTTTAATATTTCAGACCACCGAAAGCGAAGGAATACTGCAGTATATCAGGGTGTAAGAATGTAAAGAAGTACGCCTGTTCTCGGACTGGTGTTCCTCTGTGTAGTCTTGGGTGTTATAAGAAAAACAGCCTGCTTCACAATCTCCCCAGTGTCCGGGCAGCTAGCTGAAAGGAAGATACACTGAAGAACTGTGAATACTGTTCAGAGTACCAAGACTGCTCACAGCAGCGTTAGAACCTCTGACTGAGATTATTTTGTGACGGCTGCTGGCAGAGAGGATATTACATGTTTGATGGAAAAATGAAATCTGCGGAGTGTCAAGACCTCAATTGGAAATTCTGTTACCTGATGAAAAGAATGAACCAATTCTCGTGATTGTGATGGTTGTGTGAGGGCCGCCAGCGGAGAAGATATAGTATAAAAAAATATATAGTCACAAGCACTTGAACATCAGAGCCTCCAGCTGAGGTGGGGGATTATATAACATCAGAGCCTCCAGCTGAGGTGGGGGATTATATAACATCAGAGCCTCCAGCTGAGGTGGGGGATTATATAACATCAGAGCCTGCAGCTGAGGGGGGGATTATATAAGATCAGAGCCTCCAGTTGAGGTGGGAGATTATATAAGAGAAATTTTCACATCATTTCATGCTTGTTATTCTCGTTAATATATTGTATATGTGAGAAGTGTAAAAGTGTTAAAGATAATGATGCTGTTGAACCAGTGTAAGAGAGCGTTGATGGGGTGTGTTTGTAAAACATACTGGCTCCTCCAAGGTAAGACTTAATAGGCTGATCAAGCAGAGTAGCTGAAAGTCGACTTATCAGGATTTTCAAAAATCAAAACATGATTGGTGAATTTCTAAAATAAGTATTATTGTTGTTCCAATTGCTGAGTGAACAATATTGAAAAATATGTTATTTTCTGAATGTGTTTATGTTTTCTTAATGAGGTCACCAAAGCAAAATTATAAGATGTAGAGTTATTTGTTGTGTTTGTTATATTTCTTACACATTTAAATTATACTTTATTTCCATGTAAGCCTGCAATGAGTTTGTTTTACCCACATGTGAGATATCCAAGTTCGGTTTCGAAATTTACTTAAATAAAAATGACCATAAATATCCAAACAACAAGTCAAATGTCAGTTTTAAGAAATGATTTCCATGGTCATGCTCATGACAATGCATCACTTCCACAGAGATCTATATAGCAGCCCAAGGAGGCAGAAAACCTAGCGACCAGTCTTTATAATTGTTTTTACATATATGAACAAAAGTTGATCTTCTCAAAGTCCGGTAAAAAATAAATGATTAATGTCCGGTCTTAAATAAAGAAATTCTCAATGTCCGGTCTAAAATAAAGAAATTCTCATTGTCCGGTCTAAAATTGAAAAAACAACTATATCCATATTGCTACCAATAACTCTGCCGGTGAGAAATGAATACTTGTTTACCATATGTATATCATGTTTTCTCTAGTACATCCCGTCAAAAACTGCAACTGCATTTCGAATATCCCAGAACAATCTTCAAAACGAGAATATATCTAAGACCCAAACACGCTATTACCCATGCACTCACCGTGTGGGATTGAGTGTCAAAAACAAGATTAATGCGTACATTTAGCTTGTTTTCAATTTATACATAGTGAAAATAGTCTCATATCTAAAAATATCTACTCTATAAGTAACCATATACGGTTGATAAAGGAAGTGGTGAGAAGGGCCCGTCAGGAACATTATCGAAGAGGGGAAATAACGACCAAGCCTCTTATCAGTTAATACTGTTCTTATGAGGCGCAGACACTGGGAACCTGCCGAGGTTTAATGGCATCTTAACATATAATATTCTAATCTTAGGAAGAACTGGGACTACATGTATAATACTTACATTATGAATATACCCCGCAGAAAATACTTATAATTTTACAGTAACCTTTTGCTTGATGTCTTTTAATCTCCCGAACATCATCTTGATCACTCCTCCCATCAGAGGTGTCTGATCGCTTCTCCTATCAGAGGTGTCTGATCGCTCCTCCCATTAGAGGTGTCTGATCGCTCCTCCCATCAGAGGTGTCTTATCACTCATCCCATCAGAGGTGTCTGATCGCTCCTCCCATCAGAGGTGTGTTATCACTCCTCCCATCAGAGGTGTGTTATCACTCCTCCCATCAGAGGTGTGTAATCACTCCTCCCATCAGAGGTGTGTTATCACTCTTCCCATCAGAGGTGTCTTATCACTCCTCCCATCAGAGGTGTGTTATCACTCTTCCCATCAGAGGTGTGTTATCGCTCCTCCAATCAGAGGTGTCTTATCACTCCTTCCATCAGAGGTATGTTATCACTCTTCCCATCAGAGGTGTCTGATCGCTCCTCCCATCAGAGGTGTGTTATTATTCCTCCCATCAGAGGTGTGTTATCACTCCTCCCATCAGAGGTGTGTTATCACTCCTCCCATCAGAGGTGTGTTATCACTCCTCCCATCAGAGGTATGTTATCACTCCCCCCATCAGAGGTGTCTTATCACTCCTCCCATCAGAGGTATGTTATCACTCCCCCCATCAGAGGTGTCTTATCACTCCCCCCATCAGAGGTGTGTTATCACTCCTCCCATTAGAGGTGTCTTATCGCTCCTCCCATCAGAGGTGTGTTATCACTTCTCCCATCAGAGGTGTGTTATCACTCCTCCCATCAGAGGTGTCTTATCACTCCTTCCATCAGAGGTATGTTATCACTCCTCCCATCAGAGGTGTCTGATCACTCCTCCCATCAGAGGTGTGTTATCACTCCTCCCATCAGAGGTGTCTGCTGCTCACCACCTCTAATTATGATATAGGTTCCGATTTCGCTGCTGACTCTGCCGTTCACCGGGACCACTTCCACTCTGTTCTGATTTCTCTGTTCCTTCACGTATGGTTGTTATGCCTAACAATTTTATCGAAGAATACAGTGTAAACGATTACTTCGTTGTCACTTTGCGTCCCGAATTAATGTCATTGGACTAGTAACTTCATTCTTAAGTGACGTATTTAGGTGTTGCTAGCTCAGTGTCTACTGTAACGACGTCGTTTATTGATAGAGTTTGTTCAAATTTTGTACAAATGATTTTGATCAAACTAAGTGTAAGAATACCTCGGCTGAGTTGGCGTTTCAGCATGGTCCCATAAATATAACATACCTATAACATAACTTGTTCGTAACTAAAAACAAAGCCAGTCTGTTCTTTGTTAAATTGTGATATGAAATACTAGAAAAATGACAGAAACTTCCATACATATAATATATGAAACAAGTTATTTAGGATTATATTTATCACTGTTATTGGCACTAATAATAGCGCGCGGGGGATATTAATGTTGGAGGAAACCGGATTACCCGGAGAAAACCCAGGTGGCCGGGCAGGTGACCCCATACCTTTTTCACGTCCGATCCAGAAATCGAACCCTGGCCGCCATGGTGAGAGGGAAGTGCGCTTTTTATCGTTTTTTTTTTATTTTATTTTCAAAATTGTATGACATAAACATATATATAAATATACATACAATGTTCATGGGCGTCAATAATCGCCTTTAAATAATGTACATACTGTTCAAAATATTCTATCAAGTATCAGTATTCGTCTTACATATATATTAACAAATAAGTATAAATTCACATTTTGATATAAAAAAATAAACTTCCGGATATTCTTGTCCTTACTCTATTCTGATTAAACTTTTATTATAATCCATTGTCTGATATCCGGTTAGACTCTAACCGGCAAGTGCGCTTTAACCTGCGCCAACCGACCACCAAACTCCAGAAACTCCAAACACGTCCTTGAGATGTTGGTGTTCTGTCATAATTATATTCAAACATAAATCTCGTTCATTTCTTATTTCACGTAATATGCAACTCGACTATAGGTCTCGGCAAATATCAGATTTAGGGGCGACGCATTCTTTCATCAGTAATTGCGTATACTAGGCTAGCATTGTTTTTACACATGAGGGACTCGGTTACTAATCACTGAATCTAGCAAATATATCGGTTACTCATGTTTTGGACCGTGTTGTCTAATTAAGACAATAACATTCTCTTGATATTGTGTATTTTTATATTAAAGGGTTAGCCGTGTATTGACCTTGTGAGGTTACGCGACCATTCGCTCAGTCTGTGTAGTTAATCCGACGGTCACATACACGTTTATTGCGACGCTGAGATTTACTGATAATCCGCTTAATCTCTGACTCTGTGTTGTTGTATATGTGTGCAGTGTTGATTGTAAATGTATACAGCAGAGACATTTGGAAACATGTTCTTATTTAAAAGTGAAACGAGCGATTGTGAATAATTTTGAATGAGTCGGGATATTGGAGGTGACTTTACACGACACAACAAGAGTTGATGATTCGAAATCGCCAAACCCAGTGTAAGGAAGTTTTCGCACATGCTGCGAGTGTTGTTAACCTATTTAATTAATATAGAAGGTATAGCCTACACGATCTGACGCCATAGCGTGTTATTGAAACAGGGAAGTTTATCGGGAATATCGCTACACGATGTGGACTTCATTCTGGATTACAAAGCTATGTGCTGTTCTAGAAGAGGAATGCTTATTTTTCATTATCTAAACCGATTTGAATTTAGAAGCACGGTAAACCATTATCGTTATGGATACATTTGTAAGAACCTTCACGAATATCGTACAGGAAAAACGGTCGAACTGCGAGAGTCTGTGTCCTAACTCAGATGTAAGCGTTATCACAAAAAAAGTCATTGATTTCACTAAAAATGACGTAACAAAAGCATTGTGCCAAAACACGTGATAAACATAAAAAAGAAATATGACGTCACGCCAACAAGGCACCACAACACGTGTTACCGGTGCAGCGAGATCAACGAGAAATGACACAAAATTGTCGGCGCGTCAAGGGTCAAAGAGGTCAGAGAAGACTCGGAGTCAACAAATGACGAGTGGATATCAACCAGGTGAGGACTCAAGATATCAGCAGACTCGGATGAGTAAGAAAGGGTCCCAGGCTGCTAGCAGACGGACAGGACGAGAGACGAGTAGACAAACTGCGGGAACAACGAAGACTAACCACCTTGTGCAAAGTAGACTTTCAAACCAAATTGTGTTCCGTCATACACCTAGCCAGGCAGACGAGTCTGAGGCGAAGAGCTATGGGTCACAATACGATGATGATGAATACGAGGAAGGAGAGGAAGACGACGAAAGGGAATACGGAACCGAAGAAGAGGAGAAGGAAGACAGCGACGAAGACGAAAAAAGTGCTTATATTGAGGATTTTTACCCAGAGTATGATCCGGCGACTAGGCCAGGGGCGAAAAAGGTTTCCGGCCCTCGGGTTGAACTTATGGACGGCCCTGAACCGTGTCATTGTTTTCCAAAGAAAAGCAATAAAAACATTCCTTCTATGGTGTATGAAAAAATCGAGTGCAAACATAACGGAGTTCAAGGTGAGGCGCATGCCGGTGTGTACAAATTTGACTTTAACTGGAACGAATTTATGGAGGAACCTAAACGCAGAAAACGGAGCCAAGCTCCTCCTAAAACTAACTTTGTAAAGGGATATCCAAATCCGGAATTTCTAGGAGGTGAGTATGTAGAAGAAGAGGAAGAGGCAGATGAAGATGATGACGACGACGATGACGACGATGATAACACTCAACAAGAAGAAGAGGACGAGGATGACGACGATTACACATATCATGGTGATGAACAATTCGATGGACGATGGGGAAGAGAATCCGATGAAGATGATGATTATGACGATGAGGAGGAGGAAGAGGACGAAGAAGAGCTTGAACGGCAGAGAGCGTTGGAGGAAGCTATGGCTAAACCAAGTGGTATAAGAGCCATTATACCATTGCCCCAAATAGGATACTCCCCGCCCCCTTCAAGGGAAAGATCAACACCGATGTCCCAACGTTCTGTCCCCTATTCCCTGCCCCCTCTGCCTGAGAGCCCCTTCATGTCGGCACAGGGTCGCCAGACCGCCTCGTCATACGCAGGGTCCGAAAGTCGTTTGGATAGTAGGAACTCGCGCAAGGACAGATTCCGGATAAAGAAAAAGATCGACACAGTACGACGTTTCCAGGGCCGGATGTACGACCCGGGTAAGTTCGTTTGTAAAGTATAACTTTCACGTAAAAAGACAAAGCTTTTGGTAAAGTCGTTGAAGCCGTACACTGAAAAAATATATTTTGTGATTGATAATTAAAACCGGTCAAGACTATTGCTTCATTAAAGTAAATTATCCCTACAGATCGGAGATATAGGAAAGAATGTACCGGCTGCTACCCATTGCCCGATTCGTAAGAGACAACCACTAATGGACTCCTGCATAATTTGAGTCTTTTTTTGTCGTTTACTTTAGGGAACAAAGCAACCAAAATAAATCTGCTTTGCCCATTACAACATCTGTAAAATCTATGTTGCTCTTCTTTTTAAAGACCTTTTTCGTGTCCTAACGTGGCGTTACCTTGCTTTTTGTCTTAGCGTTGATTATGAACGCTCGCTCAAGTGAGGTAATCGTTACAGATGGTAAACCTGATGTTCAGATAATGTAACCGAGGTGAATGCGTGCTTGATGCCTTTTGCATGGTAATTCAGTAAGCACTTTAAAGCGGCATCCGATCCTTATACTAACATGCCATCTCTAGCATACGGCACTGGCTACACCTAGATGTTTGTCTGTGATGTATTTACAACATGTATATCACAACAATCTATATAAGTCACAGGAATCGAGGCTTAAATTTGAAATTAATGCATTGAGTATATCGGAGTTCTGAATTTACCAGAGTCTGACGCAATAAACTCAACAAGCCCATACCAAGCGAAAGAACTCTGGTAGACTTAATGTTAATTTCGTAATATTACAGGAGTTATCTTTCTTGACTTGTTTTTCTGTAGCTTCCAAAAAAGTCGTTTCCTATGACATCACGCCAGCCTTCAGAGCCAACATTGGCTCATGGCATGCTCACATCGATAGTGGCTCCTCCAAAGCTTCCGGAAGTCGATTGTCGCTCCAGTCCGGAAATCGTCAAAGTACTCTACCGAGTCGCCGGAGTGTGAAAGCGGAAAGCCGTCAGACGAACATCCTGGAGGAAGACGACGAGGATGAAGACGAATATGACGAGGATGAGGACGATGAGGACGATGAGGACGATGAAGACGATGAAGACGATGAGGACGATTATAAACAAAAATATTAAGTGTTGAAGATTTTCGGCAATTCAAATCGACATGTCTTCATTGTACATGTAAATTGGAGATGACATTTAATGTGACATCATGTAATATTTATACGGTTACTCAAATGTGACGTCAACTAGCAGAGATGTACAGTGACTCTAACGTGCCGTCATTTACGATAAATATATTTACATTTCCACTGCAACTTCCTCTTTTATGACGTTAGGCTGCTCCAGGAATCTCGTTTGCACTGACGACATAAACGCATCAATATCGAGAATGTCTGTATTTAGGTCAATAGTAAGTAAAAGTTTAGAATGTAATTACAAGGATTTAACGGCATTTTTTGATGTTCATGCCGGTATGAACGCTAATCGGTTACAGACACCACAAACTTTGACATGATAGCTTTAACATTTGGTACATTGTGCGCAACCTTTTCATGTTGACTCCTTTATAAATAATAACATATGAAGGTACTCATAGTCATGGTCATCATGGCGACATTTGCTGTTATTGTGGAGGACAACGTAGTTCTATAGCAGGGACTTACTGAAATCGTACAGACTGTAAGTCAATGACGTTAGAACCCCAGCTACAGTACTGATGAGGATCATTCAATTTAAACACATAAACACGTCAGTCATTTGTTTAATAACCGAATGAAAATTTAAATCTTACGTGTTATATTTAATTGCAACACTTTCGAATAAAACTTGATCTGAAGATGTCAAAACATTTATTTGTCACTAGTTATGAGAGTAATTAAGACTAATGAGTTATGAGATTAGTTAAGACTAATTAGTTAATGGAGTAGATAAGTCACTAGTTATGAGAGTAGTTAAGACAATTAGTTATGAGAGAAGTTAAGACTAATTAGTTATGGGAGTAGATAAGTCACTAGTTATGAGACTAGTTAAGACATCTAGTTATGAGAGTAGTGAAGACTAATTAATTATGGGAGTAGATAAGTCACTAGTTATGAGAGTAATTCAAACTAATTAGTTATGGGAGAAGTTAAGACAATTAGTTATGAGAGTAGTGAAGACTAATTAATTATGGGAGTAGATAAGTCCAAGTTATGAGAGAAGTTAAGACCATTAGTTATGAGAGTAGTTAAGACTAATGAGTTATGAGATTAGTTAAGACTAATTAGCACTATTTATGAGAGTAGATAAGTCACTATTTATGAGAGTAGTTAAGACAATAAATAGTTATTAGAGTAGTGAAGACTAATTAATTATGGGAGTAGATAATAAACTAGTTCTGAGAGTAGTTAAGACAATTAGTTATGAGAGGAGTTAAGACTAATTAGTTATGGGAGTAGATAAGTCACTAGTTATGAGAGTAGCTAAGACAATTAGTTATGAGAGTAGTTAAGAATAATTAGTAATGGGAGTAGATAAGTCACTATTTATGAGAGTAGATAAGTCACTATTTATGAGAGTAGATAAGTCACTATTTATGAGAGTAGTTAAGACAATAAATAGTTATTAGAGTAGTGAAGACTAATTAATTATGGGAGTAGATAGGTCACTAGTTATGAGAGTAGTTAAGACACTAGTTATGAGAGAAGTTTAGACAATCAGTTTTGGGAGAAGATAAGTCACTCGTTATGGGAGTAGATAAGTCACTATTTATGAGAGTAGTTAAGACAATTAGTTATGAGAGGAGTTAAGACTAATTAGTTATGGGAGTAGATAAGTCACTAGTTATGAGAGTAATTCAAACTAATTAGTTATGGGAGAAGTTAAGACAATTAGTTATGAGAGTAGTTAAGAATAATTAGTAATGGGAGAAGATAAGTCACTATTTATGAGATTAGTCAAGACGATTAGTTATGAGAGTAGTTAAGAATAATTAGTAATGGGAGTAGATAAGTCACTATTTATGAGAGTAGTTAAGACAATAAATAGTTATTAGAGTAGTGAAGACTAATTAATTATGGGAGTAGATAAGTCCAAGTTATGAGAGAAGTTAAGACCATTAGTTATGAGAGTAGTTAAGACTAATGAGGTATGAGATTAGTTAAGACTAATTAATTAGTGGAGTAGATAAGTCACTAGTTATGAGAGTAATTCAAACTAATTAGTTATGGGAGAAGTTAAGACAATTAGTTATGAGAGTAGTTAAGACTAATGAGTTATGAGATTAGTTAAGACTAATTAANAGACTAATTAGTTATGAGAGTATTGAAACCGAATTAGTTATGGAAGTAGTTCAGTCACTTTTTATGAGATTAGTTAAGACAGTTAGTTATGAGAGTAGTGAAGACTAATTAGTTATGGGAGTAGATAAGTCACTAGTTATGAGAGTAGTTAAGACTAATTAGTTAATGGAGTAGATAAGTCACTAGTTATGAGAGTAGTTCAGACGAATTAGTTATTGGAGAAGATCAGTCACAAGTTATGTGAGTAGTTAAGACTAATTAGTTATGAGAGTAGTTAAGACTAATTAATTGTGAGAAGAGTTAAGCAATTAGTTATGAGAGTAGTTAAGACAATTAATTATGGTAGTAGATAAGTCATTAGTTATGAGAGTAGTTAAGACAATTAGTTATGAGATTAGTTAAGACTAATTAGTTAATGGAGTAGATAAGTCACTAGTTATGAGAGTAGTTCAGACGAATTAGTTATTCGAGAAGATCAGTCACAAGTTATGTGAGTAGTTAAGACTAAT